TCCCCAACCGCTAATATTTCATCAATGTAAAGGCTAGTTCCCCCACCCCCACCCTCCAATATTTCATCAAATCAGAAATATCCTTCCTTCAATCCCTCGTCCTTCGGGATGTCCATTAAAATTGGAACAATACTAAGAAGATTAGAAAGGCCCCTGCGGAAAGATGACACACAGGCGGAAAGCGAAAGGAGGCAAAGGTTATAGAGGACAGTTGAGGTGGTTTAAACGTACCTGGGCAAAAAATCAAAAGTTGGCAGTCGTTTAGGCGAACAAGGGATTGGTCATTTCTCGCTGGATACTGGAAATGAACAACCCGGGGGAATGGCCGGTAGATCCGACAGCTCAGGAGGATCGGGAGCTGTAGTTAAGTTAACAAGGCTACTCACCAGGGCACTCGGTGAGGTAGGGTCAAGGTAGGCCAACTTTAGATGTAAAGTGCCAAGGGCAGTCTAGGACCAGTCCCAGGTCTTCTGGGTCGTGGTAGTCCCAGTTTTCAGGTTAGTACGTACAAGCTGGTAGATTCAGAAGAGTACTGGTATTGAAACGGAAATTACGGATGATACAACAATTCAACCGACTCGAATGTGCAAATTAGATAGGGAAACGGTTGCGTTTGGTAAGATAAGGACATGAGTAGGACTTGGAACTGAGTAACTTTGGGTTCCGCTGGCAACAGCCTGTAAGCTAAGCTGGTTGATGTTGTCAGTACTTTGGGTCGAATTGTGAGGTCCCCGGCCTCTTGTGACATTCAATTTAAGGTAATGTTCAATGTGACAAAAAAAAAAAAAAAAAAAAAAAAAATGACACACGTAGATCGAGAAATGATCCCAAAAAGTTTAAAATTGAAAAGTCGCCTCCCTCTTTTTGCCTGTGTCATCGGGATCTCAGTGCGCAGAGACATGAGTGAGAACGCTAGGCAGAAATCGAAATTGCAATATCACACTGTAGACCTTAAACCACCAGTACTTGGCTCAGCTATCGGCCGCGGGCACTCCCGTATACGCGTCGCAGCTCTAGGGAAGGCCAGGCTCCGCTTTTCGCTACGGACGACAAACCTAGAAAAACAAAAAAAAAATAAAAAAGTCCGGGGGGGGGGCGGAGGAGAGAGAGAGAGAGAGAGAGAGAGAGAGAGAGAGAGAGAGAGAGAGAGAGAGA